TGGGACAAAAGGACAGCTGCACATAACTCTAATCTGGGAATAGTTAGGCATTTAATTGGTGAAACTCTCGATTTGCTATAATTAATTTCACTAAAGTCTTCCCGAATTATTTTTGATTTGCAATACACTGCGCTCCATAGCAACGCTCTGATCATCAAAAAAACCATGAATCTCATAGATGGGATTCTCAATCACTATACGTCTTTCGATATTGATGCTATTTGGGCCCTTTTCAGCCAATTAACAACTGGTTTTCAGAATCCCTTTTTTTGGGGGGGATCTTTCCAGTCACAAGTCTCCAAAGTTTTGCATAAACATCGGCCCTTGGACACCACGGGTCCCACAAGCCCAAAGGATCGAACAGTCTGGCAAAGTTGAAAAACGTTTCTTTTGTATACGAATCTCTTGGAACCACGTCAACTTTAAAGGGAAAAACGTGTTTTTATGTCCCAGGACACCCAATGTTCTGGTCTCTTTTGGTCTAAAAAACGTAGATTTTTTAGACACTGCGAAAATTCAGAAATTTCACAGATTTTGAATTCCATGCCTGCACTTTTTAAAAATTTCAAAACCACGGAGCTCCTTTAACCCCCTTTTTAAAGGGTTTTGCACCATAAGCACGTCCGGAAGGCCAAAAGGGGGGTTTCCGAATTTATTTTCTTCATCATAGGGCAATTGTCTCAATGTTCGTTGGGGGTTTGGGGGCACTGGTCATCCCATAGGTGACCGTTTAAACTCATATGTTTTTTCTGGTCATGTTTTTTTCTTTCCACAATATTTGGCAACAGCGTTGTTCGGGAAACAATTAGGGTCATTCTATACATTTTTTTTATGGGAGTCGTGCATATCGGTAAGTCGAAAAAATCATCGAGCATATAAGTCATCTTGGGTGACTCCTCCGTTTTAACTGAATCTCATTGAGTGATAATCCATTATCTGTAGGGTAGACGCATTGAAGACCACTTTACCTTAGTGGACTTTTCGGTCTATAGACCCCCGATGCGGTAAAAAAAGTTCATCTTCGGATTGCATTTTTAACCCTTTGCATATGTCCCAATTGTTCAATTTATGAATTTTTTATCTTTTAGATATTGTGGATCTCTTTTTCCCAAACTAATCCACATGCATTTAATCGTTTGAGAGCAACCCCCAATTCCCTAAAAAATTTTGGGTCATTTAAAACATTTGAACTTTTTACCGTCCCTCAATGTCTCTAGAATGCTTTTTTATAAAAAGTTCCCCGCATAAATTAGCCCTATTTTTTTGTTTGCACTATTTCCGCATTTTCTACTTCCCAAAAATTTTTGCAATGTTTTATTTAAATCTTCGTCCCCAACTCCCCAAAGAACTTTTGTTTCATTTAATGAATCAAATACCACTTGCAAATATCCAAAAAACCCGGGTTTTTAAAAAATTTGATCTGAATTTTTATCTTAAATTTTTCTGGGCCAATAGTTCAAAAAAAAATTTCTGCACCAAAAAGTCTATTTTATCTGAATATTAAAAAGATCATCAGCTAATCCACTATATCTACAAATTAACACTGGTATTAAACGGGTTTTTTGGAATAAAAACTTTTTTTTCTTCTACTAAATATTTAAATCCTTCACGAATGTATTACTTTTATTCGAAATATCTTTAACGCACCCCTTAACAATCATAGAGGCATCATTTAAACAGAGATCAAAGTATTAATCTTTTTTTTTTTCCCCTTGATTTTTTGGGGACTATTTGTAATAAGACAAACCATACTGCCTGTCTAACAAACACCTACATTTAATTCAAATATTTATCCCTTTAAATAATAGGGGCAGTGCTAAAAGCATTTTTTAAATTTTTTTATGATAAAAGTAGTCCCACGATTTTTGATTGTTTATATTTTAACTAGAATGAAAGGAGGGCAGAAGTATTGGATAACGCCGTTTTTTTTCAAGGACCGGGGGGACAATACTTTTTTTTTCTCGAAAATGAAATAATTTATTATGGGGTTCTACCCAAAAAAATTTTTGGCCCCTGTTTAAACAAATTCTGGGGGTAGACATTTAAAGCACAATTTTTTTTTAAAAAATCACCCTTTTATTTATCGAAAAAATTTTAAACTGAGGGCAAAATTAAGCATTTTCCATTTTTTCACAAACACATTTTCACTCTTTATTTTGAAAAAAAAACGCTCGAAACCCCCCGACTTCGCGACTGTTTATTTCTGTTGTTTATTGAAATCAAAACGATTTTCACGGAAAGGGCCTGGAAAAATATTGACTGCTTTTTAAATTTTTCCTTTAGCAGTAAAAAATACATTCCCCCTTTTTAAAAAAAAGTTTTTCCTTTTTTTACATTTAAAATGAGTCGATAATTTCTAAATCTCATTTTTTCGCTCAATTAATTCACATACTGACTTAAAAACATTAACATTTCTAACGCAGTAATACCAAATTTGCACTTAACCTAGGCAAATTGCATAACTCCAAAATTTTTTTTAGTTTTACGAAAAAACATTATAGATTTTGGGGTGTAGGCTTTTTTCAAAACTAAATTTTTTAGTTTATCAAACCCCAATTCTTCCCCTGAAATAAATCATTAAGTTATTGCCCCTTCCCCTAGGATTTTAAAAAATTTATTTCCATTCTTCGGGAACCCTTTTCTTTTTAATGCTTTCTTGATGAAAAATAAAATTTTTGACTCAACACGTGAGGGGGAGATAGTTAATGTTTTTTTCACTTTTATTAATGTTTCGATACTAATATTGTTACCCCGTTTCGGTGGCGCTCACGTTTAAAGTGACGATTCATGTGATAAATCTTTTTCGAATATTAGCTAGCTCTAATTTTTCCAAACCCCAACTTAACTTTTTCTAACTGAAATTTGTTTCACTTTCTGACTGCTTTGTAATTTATTTTTTTTAACTCAAATTTTTTTTACTTTCTACCCTTTTCGCTAATTTTTTTTTTTCTAACTCTAAATTTGTTTCCCCCGAAGATTTTTTTTTTCGTTTCTTCAACACTAAATAAAAATTTTAAAACTGTTTTCCTTTTTTTACACTTCACTACTTTTAAAAAAATTTCAAATAAGAACTTTTTTCATTATCTGGCCCAATTTTTTTAATTCCCCAGCGACAAGTTTTTAAATCGTCTTTCTTCAAATTAGCAATTAAAGACATAATTAAAAAATTTCACAAAAATTCAAAGGATTCAAAAAACATTTTACCTACCTCAATAACCGGTCGCCGCACTTGGCTTCTGCTTCGAATGAATACATTTGTTTCACTCAGCCATTTAATAATAGCTTTTCAAGCTGGGTCGAGGGAAAAAGTTGGGTCAACTTTTAAACAGTTATGGTTCTAGCACAATAAAATTTTTTTGGTGCAAACCTTCCATATTTTGGTTATCTTTTTTGTCGATAAATTCCCCCTTCATTATTCTCATGAAAATCCCCCACAGTTTTTAGTGGGCGGCTTTTTTTACCCCCCAAAAAACCTTTTTTCATTCATATCAGAATTAGGGGGGAGTTGGGCTGGCGCCAAAAAACACTTTCTTTTTGAAGAAAAACAATTCCCTACCCTTTTTTTTCGGTGTTTTTCCCCGCCGAGAACGCATTTGTTTTTATCAATCTTAAGGGTGATAGGGATGGAGTACGAACCTGGGGAACCCTACTCCTTGTGTTCGCCACTGGACAGTTTTCTGGTCTGAACTGTATCTTGTTTCTTGTATGTGAATGAATGACCTTAAAAGGACTTCCCGATTTCATATATTTTTTTTTTCCCTTTCCTAGTTTTCAAACGCCTTCAACAAAAACGTAAAAAAATTTAAAAAAAGGAAATATGATTAACCACACTCATAGATTTTTATTAGAAAAATCACAACACGCTTTCCGCGGCATTTTATCCCCTATTAACTTACTTAACCATATCGTTTTTCAGAATCTTCTTTCTATGATAGCAATTTTTGCGAATCGGCCTGTTATATATGACATCCATAAAGAGAGTCCATACTGAAAAAATAATGTATGTCCTTTTATCCCCTTCCTGAAATCATCCCTCTCTCCCCACATTTATTTTCTATATTTCAGCACAAGAAATATTGTCTGCCATCCCTTTTCCGAATCCTGTAAATCAAATATAATGGTCACATCCCTAGTCCTCATCGTCTGGGTGGGAGGGGTGAAGGAACCCTTCCCTCCCCCAAGTCCAGGTGGGCAAACGCTGTGCCTGTGTTTGTGCCCATACAGCAAAAAATCCGGTAACCGAAAATAAATCGTCTGTCACCTACCCTCTCTTTGGGATCGTTTGGCTTGCTTTTCAAGTTTTAGGCCTCAAAGGAGACCGACAGAATGCTCCACCCCTGCGTTTTCGATGAGCCCCGCTGGAGATTTGGGGGGCTCGGAGCATCGGATTTGCACCTCGGCCGATATTGGCAAAAGGATTTCGTTTGGTTTTGTGTAGTTAGGTGTGGGAAATGTGGATGGGGGGCTAAGCAAATCAGTCTGAAAAAATATAGTGCAATAGTGAATTTGTAAGCAATACAAAGTAGAACCAAAAAGGATTTTAAAAAAGAATTCTAATTTTCTTTTTCTGTTTTTTATGTGTCATTTCATTTAGGGAAAAAGAAACGGGATTTTTCAGAACCATTTCCTGTTTATTGATTTTATGCTCTCTATTGATAAATATTTAAATTCTACGTTGCGACAAAAAAAAACCCATCTCAAAATTTTTATTTTTATCCTTAAACTGAAAAAGATATCGTATATAACTTAAAGGCAAGAATTTCTTACCTGGAAACAAGCAATATAAAAAAAAAATTAAGTCAATTCCTACTTAGGTCAACAAAGAAACATTTTATTTTAGTTACTTTCTGTTAAATAGTTACAATTATAATATAGATCCATATACATATGACAGAATCGCATCTTTTTTGTCTCTTTGCTACTATTTATTCATTTAGTAAATTTAATTATTCTAATAAAATAGTATAATAAAAAAGAAATCACATTTTCAGAAATTAGGCCATTCCAGGTGGGATTCGAGCCCACAACCTTTGGATTAGAAGTTCAACGTGCTTTCTATCGTGCTACCGGGATACAACGAACGATTTTCCTTTTTATATATGGTATTGGACTATTCTTTTTGTTTGTGTTACTAATTATTTCTTTAATGAATGAATTAATATTTGCAAAAAAAACTGTATTAACATTAAGTGTCATCCACTACAAATTTTAAAAAATGTATTTGAACTTGAATGGACGAATAGAAAGTATTTCATCAAGAATTGAAAATTTGAACAAGATATATATAAATATATATGTATATAGGGAGCGAGGGAACTGATACTAGAGGAATTGAAAAAGAAGCAATAGAAAGATTTCAGAAAAATTTGCAAACTTGCTTCGAATTAAAGAAAAAAGCAATGTACTTTTATTTTTCAGTGACAGATCATTTCATCTCGTATATTCTTTCTCAATAAATTACAATGGATTAGTTTTATTACATACACACACGCAGACATATATGTATAGAAAAAGAGAGAGGAAATATTATAATTACATTATTTAATACATGAACTGATGCTGCGCTAACTTAATGGTCATGGTCGCGATCTCTTGGCCGGTACTAAGAACCCTATTGCTACTTACGGAATCCGACTATGTTCTAGACCAGTGATTCCCAAAGTGTCTATATAGACCCCCAGGGGTCTATGACGACCTACAAGGGGTCCACATCATCAAACAAATAATTTGGGGGTCCATGAGGGGTAAATGGGGATCTATGATAGTGGTTATCATTAAACTAGATCGTGACTTTAGGCTTAAAAGAAAATTTGATCTAGTGGAAACCAAATTTTACCTATTTAACAGATTTATTTACTAAATTTAATGAGGTTAATTTGCCAACACAGGGTGACACAGCATAAATTTTATTTAAACAAGAACAATTTCAGCGTTTCTTTCCAGAATTAAGCGAAAAAAGTATAATACTGGAGCACCCAAATTTTCCCAATTTGTTACAGATAATTTGTCAGGACTTTTTAGCCTACGTTCAACATTTGAGTGGCTTTTATTCAGATTTTGAAATCAGGTTTGAGAATGGTTTGTGGTGATACCACAGAGTAGGTATTAAATTCATATGGTCACATTAAAAAAATATCACATTACAATAGGAACTGATCGTAATAAGCACTAAACTTAAAGCACTATCTTAAAGTTTAAAAACGGACAGCAATTTTGGCTTTAAAAAGGCAAACCTGTTATTTGTCCCGAACTATAAAATATCATTAGGAAATCCTAGAGAGAAGTTTCAGCATAGTTCTAATCTCAAAAATAAGAAAAGAAAGGATGAAACTGAACACTACTAACAGAGGAGATTTAAAGTTAAACCTGACAAGATTGATACCAAATGTTGAAAATTTGTTATTGTAGCTCCAGATTCATCCCTCTCATTAAAATCGTTTGTTGTTTAATCATTTTATGTGTTAAATATAACTATTAATTTAAATAACATGTGCTTTTTGAATTTTAATCAATATACTCCATTACAATTAGAAATTTAATTCTTTCAAAGTAGTTGTAGCCCCAGATGTCAAAAAGACATTTAAGTTGACAAATTTGCAAAAATTCAATATTAATTAAGAAGGGGTCTACCCTAAACCGAAAAACATGCCAAGAGGTCTATGAGATAAAAAAGTTTGGGAACCCTGTTCTAGACCATGATTTTTCAAAAGCACACATATATATTCTTTTAATATTTAATGTGTCACTTAGATTAGAATACACGTATAAAATTGTTTTAAAAGTATTATATATTGAAAAGAAACAATTATTTAAATGCAATATTTTGGCAAAAATAAGCATAGAGTTACCTATTTTCGAAACATTCTCTTTTATGAAAAATGCTTCTATAATAATAATATTTTGCTCATTTATAGCTAAGACTTCTCCATAGAGCCTGGGACTAGGATTTTTGAAAAATTCACATTATTTTCAGAGTTACTACCAATTGAAATAATATATATATATATATATAATCGGAGTTTTTTTTGTTAAAATTTCTCTACTCTAATGTATTAAAATTATAGATAAGCCACTTCTAAGTTATATATTTCAAAAATCCTGGTTCAGGCTTTGTACAGAGATCTGAGCTATATATAGGCAAAATATTATTACTATGGAAGCATTTTCCTTAAAAGAAAGTTTTGAAAATAGGTAATTCTATGTTCATTTTTTGCCAAACTATTGAATTTAAATTATTTTTTATTATATAATTTGTCATAAAACAATTTTATGCGTAAATTCTAATCTAACAGACACTAAATATTAAAAAAAAATATTCGTTTGTACTCTTTTGCAAAATGATGGTTCCCAGCGTAGTCGGATACCTGAAGATCCGCATGTTGAGGGGCTGATACTCATTGAATTCGTCGAGGCTCGAAGTCCTCCCATTGGCGTGGTGTGGAAGTTCGGAGAGGTGTTACCAGCTCAGGTGTCGTCCTCGTCACTTGACAATGGTTCAGAATTTCGTGGTCCATTACCAATAGCCCTCGTGTTGTATTATAGTGCGACGAAAATAAATACTCACTTCGTCCTGTTCTTTGTTTTTGAGTCTTGGTACTGTTGAAGGGTACGTAGAGGGGATGATACATGCTCACACAATCTGTCAAAGCTCAAAGACTTCCCGTGTGGCCGCGGTAGCCCAGTGGTCAAGGTGGCTGGCCTTGTCACGAGTTCGAGCCCAGTACCACTAAAGACCCGCCGTGTAGGGGAACCATGCACGTTAAATCTGTCGAGAGCTGAAACGTCCTCCCGTTGCGTGGTGTGGTAGTTAGAGAGGGGTGCCAGCTCAGGTGTCGTCCACGTCACTTGACCATGGTTCGTATAGGTCCGTCGCCAAAGCCCTCGGTAGCTAAACAGTGCGACGTTAATATTCATCATCAATCAATCTGGTGTGGTGGGACTTGGAGGAGAGGTGCCAGTTCAGGTGTCATCCTCGTCACTTGATTGTAGTTTAAAGTTAGGAGGGCCGTCGCCAACAGCTCTAGTGTTGCTTCGAAATACCACGCTGATAAACAATGAATCTTGCCCATACACAATGACAGTTTTTCGCAACACAAGCTTAAGGAAATAACGGTTTTTCGGCAAATTTTGTGATCATCCGGATTTTAAGTTTTGCGTATTTTGTAAACTTTGATCCATCATAATTTATAATTCTGAATTCATTGACCGATAGATTTTTAACTGCTTCCCTTACAAATTTTTTTGAAAAATATTGCAAAAAATCATCACATTATTTTATTTTATTATTAAAATATCCGACTACGTTCGGAACCGTGATTTTGCAAAAGCGTATAAATTGATAATATTTATGATATTTAGAGTCATTTAGATTAGAAAACATATATAAAATAGTTTTAAGAATATTATACAAGTAAAATTATTGGTACAATTTTGACAAAAAATGAACACAGAATGACCCATTTTCAAAATATTCTCCTTTTGTGAAAAATACTTCGATTATAATAATATTTTGCCTGTATATAGCTCAAACCTCTGTACATAATCAACTAGAATTTTTGAAATATATAACTTAGGAGTGTGTTTATCCATGGTTTATGACACAACAGAGGGGAGAAATTTTAAGAAAAAAACGCCGATAATTATATATTTCAATGGGTACACTGAAAATAATATGAATTTTTCAAAAATCATAGTTGAGCCTCTGTACAGACATCTGAGCTATATACAGGCAAAATATTATTATGATAGAAGCATTTTTCACAAAAGGAGAACATTTTGAAAAAAGGTTATTCTAAGTTAATTTTTTGCCAAAATATTGTATTTTAATATTTTTTTTTGTCAAAACGTCCTTAAAATAATTTCATACTTATATTCTAATCTAAGTGACAATAAATATCATGAAAATTATCCATTTATGCGTTTTTTTTTAAATCAGGTTCCGAACGTAGTCGGATACCTTAAATACGAGAAAATGGAACAAAACACTAAGTATGTAGGTTTTAAGTTGATTTTTTAATTCTTTACTAGTGTAAAAGCATTTTTGTTTTAATATTAATTTACTATTACGAGTTATCTCGGGCAAATGGAGAAAAATATGACCTGCTTCGCCCGAGTTTTCTCGGGATAATAATTAACTGCAATATATACGAACACGAGATAACTCGGTATAAACAGGCAAGCGGTTATTTACGTCGCACTCTGAAGCAACACGAGGGATATTGGGAACAGAACTCGTAATTCTGTACTATAGTCAAGTGATGAGGACAGTGGCGTGAAAGGAGGGGGGTGTGGGGTTTACCACCCCATAGCCCTTTTGATTTTTTCGATTGATTATAATCCTATACATATAGTACGTAAAATTTAATTTAGTATTTGTCATTAATAATTTATTTTGTTAATTAATGCTAAATATTTGTTCAAAAAATTATTTTTTACTGTTTTGTGCTCTCGACAATCGATAATATCAAAAGAATATTTTGTTGGCGTATTGCGGTTTGATGCGAAAGTGATAGACTCTTTGAGCTAGCACAGCACTCTCCAAACTTCCCCACAACACCAGAGGTCCACAATTAAATTTTACAGCTGAAGATGAATCATAAGTGTTACCTGTCTGTGTGTGTTTTGAATAGGACAGGAGAATCCTTACTTATCTCATCCCACTCCTCAAGGCACAGAATATTTTAAGATTTCAACAGTTATGTTACATTTGATGACGGACTACCTAATTGTGCAGCTGCGGTTGAGAAAATTGTTGATGTGTCGGATGCAATGACTGCAATTCTGATGCAGAAATTAAGAATGAAACTCCTATCAAACTGTTGCATTTTCTAATGTTTTCCACTGTTTGGAAACTATGAAAACATACTTATGCAGCAGGATGTAAATGACGCAGAATATTCTTCTCTGCATAAAATCGAAAAAGAATTCTTTCGAGTCAGAAACCAAAAAAGATTGTCTAACGTCTATCAGTCAGTATTTTAAAACTGGTGCGTAATAATTCACTAATAGTATTTTTAGCCATTGGATAAAAAGTGTGTAACTTCTAACTTTGAATATTTTTCATGCAGTTGTTT